TGTGTAAATAGTTGCAAGGATCATACTTCCCAGTTTATTATAAATTCATACACTTACAAATAAAGTGTTTACATTGTTCTTTTAGAAGTATCTCATTGAATCAAATGCCCTAACAGTTGGCTATTTTCAACAATCCATCTAAAAAGAAAAACAGAAAGGAACAGGGGCTGGAGAGATGGCTCAGTGGTTAAGAGCACTGGCTGCTGCTGCATAGGACCCAGGTTTGGTTCCCAGCACCCATGTGATGGCTTCCCACCATCTGTAACTCTAGTTCCATTTCCAGGGGATCTGATGCCCTCTTCTGCTTGCTTCCTCAGGCACCAGGTGATGCAGGCAAAACACTCGGACACATAAAATAAAAATAAATCTTTAAGAAAATACACGAACAAAGTTTACCTTATTGCAATTTCTACTCACACTTGAATTTACACTCCACATTCTGCCACAGAATTTCCTCATATTCTATTTTTTACATAAGAGACTTATTGATGACTTCTGTACGTTTATGTGGGTGGACTCAAGTGTATGAACGTTCACCACGTGAGAACCCCATCTCCCCAGCTCCTCTATTTGTTGCATGAAACAGTTTCAATATATGGACCAGCTGGTCTCAGATTTGCTGTCCTTCTGTCTCTACAGCCGTGGCTCTTCTGGTGATCACTCTACAGACTAGGCTGGCCTCGGACTCACAGAGACCCACCTGCCTCAGCCTCCGGAGAGCTGGGATTAAAGGCCTGTGCCACCATGCTTCAGCCCATATTACACCTTTTTAAAAAGTCTTGTAATAATTTAAGCAGCTTTCTTTTTCTTTTCATTTTTTTAAACCTTATTTTTCGAGACAAGGTTTCTCTGTGTAACAGTCCTGGCTGTCCTAGAACTCACTCTGTAGACCAGACAGGCTTCGAACTCACAGAGATCCACCTGCCTCTAACTCGCTGGGATTAAAGGCGTACATCACCACCACCTGGCTTTTTTGCTTTGTTTTGTTTTCCAGACTGGGTTTCTCTGTGTAGCACCGGCTGTTCTGGAACTCACTCTATAGACCAGGTTGGCCTTGAACTCACCTGCCTTGGCTTCCTGGGAGCTGGGATTAAAAAGTTCTGTGCCACCAGCAGCATGCATGCCCAGATTTTAAAGAACACACCCCCCATTTTTACATTTTAATTGGGGGGAAAGAAAGCATAAATGTATGTGAACTTACATGGGTGATGGGATGAGCTAGTTTACGGTAGTACTGACATCAGATGAAGCATATAAGGTTTAAAGTGTGCGCTTTGACACAGAGCCAAGAGCTGAGGCTGTAGTCAGTGGTAGAGCACTTGCCTGCCCAGGATGCATGAAGTCCTGGCTTTGATCCCTAGCACAGCAGCACCAAAACTAAAATAACTATACAGTCCTAAAACCAGTGCTAACAAGTTTGATCAATACTTATTAAGCAGAAAAAGTGAAATTTTGTTGAGAATGTCTGTCTTACTGCAGATCTTCTTAATTTGGTAATTTATTGCTCACACTAGGATGGGACAGATTTTAGCTACAACTCTACCCCTAGTTTTCATTTTGATGTTTCCCAGATGTCAGCATCAGGAAATGCTTCAGAAGAATCAAATCTGAGGAACTCCGTGAGCTACTTGTAAATACTATTACTATAAGTTGAATTACATAAACTTATTATATATACACATATATACGTGTGCGTGTGCTTGTGCATGTGTGTGTGTGTGAATGAAAGGCAGGCAGTACATCTCAGTGGCAGGGTGCTTGTTTAGTTTATGTGTCTTTAGTTCAATCACCAGTATGCTATAAACTGTTATGGTTCTAGAGTCTTCAGAGATTCACCAGTCTGAAAATGAATACATTTTAACAAAGCAGAGGCTTTTATTCCAGTAATTGAGCCAGGTCTACACCCTGGACTGGGGACTCCCAATCCTATCTCCTAGCCACATAAGTTAGGGGTTTATAAAAGCAAAGAACATAAAGTTACATTGTTTTTTATTTTTATTTTAGTGTTTTGGTTTGTTTTTGAGACAGGGTCTCTCTATGTAGCTCTGGATGTCCTGGAACTAGCTCTGTTGACAAGGCCCGTCTCCAACTCACAGAGATCCGCCTGCCTCTGCCTCCCCAGTGCTGGATTTAAAGGGGTGCGCCACCATTGCCCACTACTTTGTTTTGTTTGTTTTTACATTCTGTTTTTTAAACTTATGTCTTGCAGGTGTCCAGTTATCTCCAGCAAAAACAAACTTTTGTTTACAGAAGTAGAAACACAGTTAACCTTGTGACCTATTACCTTGTATAAACAGCAAGTTTTGTTAAAGCTGTACAGGACCAGGCAATGACAAAAACAACCCTTAAAATACCTTGACATTTGGAGGTCCGATTTTGTTTTGTAATTCTAAGCACTGCAATTTTAAAACTTTGAAACATAAAGGTAGCTATCAGCATGATCACCATCATAAAATAAACAAACCTGAAGGAAATCACTCAAAACTTGCCACTTCTGAATTTTCTCACTATCCGTTTATTATTTATGTTCTTATGATTGTTTACAGCAGCCAGCCATGGCCTAGGCCTGTGATGCCAGAGATTTGGGAAGGGTCCATAGGAGTGTCATGAGTTTAAGGCCAGCTTGGGCCGATTTAGCCAGATCCTGCCTTGAAGTGAAAATAAATTTTGAAATGTTAATACCTATTGTGTGACATAAGTGTTGCAGACCACTTCCCAATTCCGTGTTCAGTAAGGGTTCATTGGTGAGCTGAAATCAGCCACAGTGGGAGCATTTACACCATAGAAATTGACAGAAGGCACAAATTAGCCCTCCTCCCTCCTCTACTGCTGGGTGAGCTGGAAGTGGTGAGAAGTTCCTTTTCGAGTTTTGTTACCATGATGACAGGTGACTGAGAGTAGCAGCTGTCACCAGAAATTACTTCTAGTGAGTTACCTCCTGACAGATACGTTAGGCCTCCTTCAGTCCCATGGAAAGCAAAGACTGTAAACCATTTGAATTGTAAAATGATCTTTCCTTCCTTCCTTCCTTCCTTCCTTCCTCCCTCCCTTTCTTTTTTTTTTTTTTGTTTTTGTTTTTTGTTTTTTTTTTGTTTTTCAAAAAGGGTTTCTCTGTGGCTTTGGAGGCTATCCTGGAACTAGCTCTTGTAGACCAGGCTGGTCTCGAACTCACAGAGATCCACTTGCCTGTGCCTCCCGAGTGCTGGGATTAAAGGCCTTCACCACCTATGCCCGGCCCTCCCTTTTTTCTTGAGAATGGCTCTGGTTGTGTATCACTGGTCAGCCTAGAACCTGAAATGTAAACCAAATTGTTCTCTCTCTCTCTCTCGAATCAGAGTATCTCTACATAGCTCTGGATGTCTTAGAACTCAGTGTGTCCACTAGGCTGGTCTTGAACTCAGAGATCTACCTGCTTCTGCCTCTTGAGTAATGGTGTTAAAGCATGCACCACCACACTCAGATCACGAGAAAGGATTTATTGTGGTTAATTTCTTTTCTCTGTGCCCAATTTTTAGGGAAGTATATTAAAATAGTTGAAAACAATTGGTCATCATTAAGTCTGTGAGGGGAAAAACCCACGATCAATATTTGAAAATTGTTTTTCTCTCAAGGTTTTCTGCCACAAGAGTCTTTGATTCTTGGAAAATAACTAAGGAACAGAATAAAGGAAGTCTAGGAACAGGACATAGTATGCCCTACCTGTAAACCCACCTTGTATGTGTGCGTGGTGGGGTGTGAATTGGGACATTGTGAGGGGCTGGTTTAGACAATTCAAAGAAGGAGAGGGGCAGGGGTCATTTCCACCTGGAAAAGTGTGTGAATTCAGCCAGGTGGTGGCGCACGCCTTTAATCCCGAAACTGGGGAGGCAGAGGCAGGTGGATCTCTGAGTTCAAGGCTAGTTTGGTCTACAGAGTGAGTTCCAGGACAGTCTGGACTACACAGAGAAACCATGTCTCGAAAAAAAAAATTCCCAAAACCAAAACACACATACACAAAAAGAATGTGAATTCCTAATATGCCAAAACAGCCCAAAGTACCCTAGTTCCGAAGCCACATCACACCCTTAGCACAATACATCTGTCTGTCAAAGATTGGCTCTTTGATTGATGGTTCTAGCATGCCCCCTCCCCTATAAGGGTCTCATATTGTAAACAGCTGGACTGTCTTAAACTCTTGGCTGTCCCCTTGCCTCAGTGCTGGGATGACAGGCCTTCCCCATCACCTGAGTGAGGATGGCCTTCAATCCACTGTTGTTAATTCCAACAGTACCGAGGCTTGAGGGTCTAAGCAATCTTACCAACCCTCCACTCTGTTAGGTTGATGTTAGAAGTGACATTTTTGGATCCAATGTGGAAGACTACTTGAGAAGAGAGAAACTGCAAACCAGTTTTAAGAGTGATGAAAATTCTCTCAAAAACAGAGACCAGTCGAAAGAATAAGTATTTATTTCGTGACATGTGACAATTACGCAAAATACATATTTCAGTTCATAAATTTTATTGGTTAATATAAAGGCAGGCCCACTGTCCAGCGTTTTTGGAGCTGGCGCCCTGGGCCTGGAATAGTTTCGACAGCAGGCTCGGAAAAGCCCAAACCTTTTGGTCCACCCCTTTCAGAGCTGCTATCCGGATTCAAGCCCCACTTGGGAAATCTTCCTGACTTCAGAGGGGACCGCGCCTGGTTGAAGACTGGTATAAACATAAGACTCTGAATCTGTCCTTCCCATTTCTGGGCCTCAGTTTCCCCAGCTATAAAGTGGAGTTGGGCAGTGATTCCCCGTGGTAGTGGTGGTGGGGTGGGGGGCTGCTTCGCAGTGGAACTGCTAACCATGGCAAGCTGCCCGCTCTGGGAGCCGCAGATCGGGGGGTCATCCCGGAGCCTGCGGGCGCGCTGTGGGCGGGTCCCCCCTGGGGTTTCCAGCTCGTCCGGGCGCAGCGCCCCGCAGGCCCAAGCTTTCCCGGGGGAATTCCGGGCGGTGCGAGCGGGCTCTGGGGGCGGGGCAGGGCGGGGCAGGGCTGCGGCATATAAGAAGGGCTGTGCACCCGCTCCGGGCCACTGGTACGCACTGTTGAGACCATGGCGTCTCCTTGCCTGCTCGCTTTGCTGCTACTGCTCTTCGGAGGATTCCCTGCCACCCCCGCCGAGTCGGTAGGTGTTTGAGGGATGTTTTAGGGCGGAGGGCGGTGCCTCCTTTGTTTCCTGAGATCCCCGGTTCCGGATGGAGTGGGGGTACGCCAGGAGCTGCGCTACCCCTATCTGGGCACCGAGGCGGGGAAAACTTTGTGGAGAAAGTTTCTTCGGGGGTCGCGGGAAGGCTGGCGGGAACCCCTCCATGCGCCGTGCGCCCCTAGATTGTTGTCTGCGCTCCTGTCCTGGCCTCTGCTTTGCGGCGGGGCTCCGGGATGGGACGTGACTAATTTGGTGTCAACTCTTCTCCCACACCCTCATCCCTTCTCTGATCTTGGGGCAGGCTCTGCGCGCAGAGCGTCCCTCCTCTCTCTGAGGCTTGAGCCTTAGATGTCCTGGGGACGAGGTGGGCAGCGTGCATTCGGGAGTGGGGGAACTTAGGGTTATGCGGGGATCCTGTTTTCACAGAGGAGTGGAGAGAATTTACTCCTGGTCACAACCTTGCCACTGACCTGAGAAGGGGCAGGGACCTGCTCTTTCAGTGTCACCTTCCCCATCTGCAGATCGGTTTGCTACAGTAGGATCAACAGGTGACCCTTCTTGCTTTAGGCTGCCTAGAAAGTTGGGTCCCTTAACTTTACAGAGCGGACTGACTCAACAGCAACTTACACTCGGCTCCGGGCTAGAGGTTGAGTTACAGCTGTTTTGCGATTTTTTGTGTTGAACAGCACACGGGGAAATTGAGGAGCCCACCTGAATGAGGTGAAGGAGCTGGAGGAGAAAAGGTCCTAGGGAGCCTAAAGAAACTTTTCCTTGTCAGGGTCCCTACCAGCGTCCCCCGGGCCCTGGGCCACATACAGCTCCGTCATAGTAGTTAGTAGGTTAGAGGCAAACACATACGGGAAGTTGCGGGGCATGGCAGTTGTTGGAAGAGGGGATCTATCCCAGGAGCGTGGGTCATTTGTACCTTCAGTCCAAGTTGGGGGGGGGTGTAAGAGAAGACTTAGAAGTTTAATTATAAATATTCATTCTTCTGAAAATTCCTTTTCTCTGGGCTTACTTAGGGCACAGTTGATTCTGTTCCGGGGGACTCTAGGGAGGGCCTGTGCAACACGCAGCCTTAATTCCAGTCAAATACAGAACCTGTTGCATGCAGGTTTCTGTTCTAACAGCTTTCTGATGGCTTTGGAATGAAATGTTTTCAGTTCCAGAAAACCTCACTGTTTACTGTTCTTAAGCTAGTCCTGAGGCAGGAGAGGTTAAAAGTAATTTGTTGAAGGTCACACAGCTAATAACCGGCTGAGTCAGACTGAAATTAGGCAGCCAGGTTTGGAAGTGCCGGTTTTTATCTTCTAGTGGCTGCTGTTGGGTCTCATTCTCAAGACTGAGCTTACATCTATTCATATCTGGGGTTAGAAAGCCTCAAGGAATAGTGGGGAGAAAGAACCAGAATGAGGGTCATGGCTTTCCTCTAAGGTGACAGCATTTTGGCAGAAAGGTTTGTGGCCGAGGCTGGAGCACATACCACATGCCTCCCTGGCACAATAACAAGTGAACGACTGAAGGGTATCGTGACATCGTGACAGAAGTTGAGTCTTTCCTTGGGGAGTATCTGAAGGAATTCTGGTTGGGCAAAGGACCTGAGAGGTGGCTGAGGTCAACACGTGGTCAGTCAGTCACATGCCATGGATCTCAGCTCAGTCAGCAGGTGCTTTGCTTAAGGGGGAGGAGTAGACGGCTCTGTCCCCCAGATCAGTAGGAGGATGTGGTTTGGGGGAGGTAGGTCATGCCAGGCCTGTGGGTGACCCGATCTAGCTAGGGGGAGAAGCCAGCTTTAAGCAGCTGCTTCCTTTTGGAGGTCTCTGTCTCAATCTCTTAGCCCGATCTCTGAGCTTTCTCCTTCCTGGCTAATATCGTGGGCATCTTAACCTCTAATTGGGGCACAGGGAATCCCCTTAAATTGTGGCCAGAAAAATCAGACCAAATCATGCTCGCTGACTGGAGAAATGATACTATCAGCCCTCCTTTTTTTTTTTTTTTTTTCTTGGAAATTAGTGAAAAAAAGAATGCCTGGGGAGCAGGGTTTAGCTAATAGCTGTTATGGTTTATTGAGTACTTTCTGATAACATAATTTAGGCCCTTACTGGAGCTTGAGTGAGCGCACATACACACACAGAAAACTAGCACGTGGTGATGTGTTGATTATGTTATTGTGTCCTCTTTTCCAGATAAAGTATTTTGAGAGATTAAGTGATATCACCTTTAAATATGCATTATGCAAGCAGGCCATCAACTGATAAAGTAGTCTTCCTCATGTTATGAGGGCCTTTCTCCAAATTTTGCATTTAGTCCAAACACAGATTTGGGGAAGGGAGCCCAAGCTAAACACCCAGCTGCCCTCTCCTCTGTTTGGCGGGTTTGTCTCCTAAACCTGTTCTTCCTGTCCAGCTGGGAGCATTCCCTGCTCTGCCTTCCTGCCACTCCCACCCTGGCCAATTAAAGGCAGCCTTGTTTTGGGTTGGGAAGGTGGGGCAAGGTGTTGCTGCCCAGGGGCACAGCCCACTAACTTGGCACCAATCCCAGGCAGTTCTGAGAAAGTATCTCCCACCCACCAGGTGTACTTCAATTTAAAGACATCTGGTCTACCTGAGAACTCCCCTTGATAGCAATTCAGGGAGTGGGTGTGAAGTGCATGGGGCTGGAGGGGACGGAAGCCTGGGGGGGGGGGTGTTCTAGGACCTATGAGTGGTTGTTGAGAACTCTTGGGACTTCTTGGGAATCCATAGAATTACCACACATCCGGGAAACTATTCGGGCCATGATCTGGAGAGTTATGTGGGGTTGGGAAGGCTTTCCTTTGGTGTCTCTGGGTGTAGAGGACTTCCACAGAATCTGACAGAGCTAGAAAGCCGTAAGACCACCTTCTCATACTTGATTATTGCCTTAGATACTACCTATGTGGATGAGTGTTCTGCCTAAATGTATGTAGCATGTTTGTGTCTAGTGCCTAAGGAGGCCAGGAGAGGTGTCAGTTGTGAGCTGCTACAGGAGCTCACAGGAGCTACAGTTGTGAGCTGCTAAGTGGGTGCTGGAAATTAAACCCTGGTTTTCTCTCTGAGCGCTCTTTCTCCAGCCCTCTTGATAGTTGACCGCTAACTATTCAGAAGGAGCTATTGGAGATATCTAAGGCATTCCCTCCAGGAAATGGAAACACACCACCAAATTCTGAAAGGGAGAGAGCCCCACCCATCCACACCTGGGCCCAGAACTCTGCTTTATTCCTTCTACTGAAACACCTAACTTTCTTACGGGCATTGATTATGTGAATGAATAAACTCATGTATGGAACTTTGTTCTAGAAGTGCTCCCAAGTCAATATTGCTAGTATGACTATAGTTTGGTATGGCAGGTTAGGAATTTTTATCTCCCTTTTCACAGAAAATTGATGCTGAAAGGAGTGTAGTGTTCTGCCAAGATCAGGAACTAGGTCTGATTGAGAATGCTAGGTGTCTAGATAGTTTGTCCCTCAGAGAACATTTTTAGATGATGGTGACACTAGATAACCTTGGGACCTACTTCTGGGTTGATAGCAAACATACCTTGTGTCTAGGGCCCAGTGTCCTATCTCCAAACTGAGGAGGCTGGACCATTGTTTCTCCTGAGCCACAGCCCAGTGGGGAGGGGAAAGGAGAGTTCCCTTGGCTGCTTTGGTAGCCTCTAAACAAGTCCCTGTCTCAGAAGAGAAGTGGGGTGGACATTCAGCTCCTGCCATCTCCAGTGCCTAGAAACAGGAGGCTTTTCCAAGGACTTGGAGTGCTGAGCTCGCCTGAATGGGGAGCTGGGCAGCTGGGCTTGCTGTTGGAAGGGATTGGCTACTAGCTGTTCTCTTTTCGGCCTCTCCTGGACTGGATGAGTTGGTGTAATTTACAAGTAATGCTTAAGAGTAGGGAAATGGGATGGACTGGGCTTTGTGAATCACTGTGTGTTACTACAGCCTGCCTGACTCACCCATTTCCTATCAGTCTCTTGGCTAATAAGGTGGATAGCTCTGTGGTAAGAATACTGGAATGGGCCTAAAGGATTGAAGGTTTTTGTTTTGTTTTTAATCTTCACCTCTGGAAGTCAACATCAGTGTCCAGAGCCTTTGAACATTCACAGTGCCTATGTGTGCACTTTGACCCTGGACAGTGGTACAGAGCAGGTACAACATTGGCGACCCCTGCACACACACACACACACACACACACACACACACACACACACCACTCTCTCTCTCTCTCTCTCTCTCTCTCACACACACACACACACACACACACACACACACACACACCCTTAAGCAACACTGAGGCTTGAGCTGGTCTGAATTCATAGAGCCAAGCTAGTATCATTCAGGTTTGGTTTGCTCTAGGAGGCTGTGACATTTCTGAGACTGCTAGGAGGGTTAAAACTTGAGTTAATGGTCTGTTGAGGTTCTGAGTTCAATTCCCCAGCACCAGTAAATAAACAAATAAAATTATGGAGAGACTTAAAGATGATCTTGCAGATGAGAGTCTGAACATAGCTCCAAGTAGTGGACCAGAGTAGACGTTCCTTAGTGACCGATCCCTGACTTGCCTAGGACCCCTCTCCTCCCCCACATCCAATCCTGCAGCTGCTAGGTGGGAAGGGGCGAGCCTAGGGGTGGGGCTGATAGAGCCCAAATCTTATATTTGTTTATCTTACAAGTGGGCTGTTTGCAGGTTATCAGATGGGTTTATATTTAAACAAGAACCAGTTCCTGGTAGCCCCACCTCCTGCTAGGATCTGCAGGTGTCCCAGGCAGCTTGCAGGGAAATGGGGGTAGGTAATTTACAAGGGTCCCAGATTTTTCAGGACACTGTTCAATCTAGGAGTTGCACCACTCCACTTTCCCTTGTTGGGGGGGAGGGGCAGTCTTCAGGCAGCTGAGCGACTACAAGAAGCATTCTGGGTTTGGTGGACAAGTAAAGGGTGCTGAGTGTTCTGAGAAAGTCTTTTCCCTG